GTAACCAAAAAAATCAATAGTAGTGCCCATGACGTCGTAGACAGACGAGATCGCGGCGTGCGAGATCGGATCAACGGCTCATCTTTTGGAGGTTGTGAGCCGCAAGGGTTGATTCACCAATGCCGGTGCGGCAGGGCCGCCTGCACACCTCGGTTTGATGGCGGAACGGGCTACACATTTCGCGAATCGGGCGCGAAGTGATGTGACCCTGTGGCGGGTCGAGTCCCATGCTGCCCACCCTGTCCGCAGGAACCTCACACACGTTTTGTCTCGACTTGTGTATTGGAGGCTCGCATTTGTGCTCCTGCTGGCGTGCTCTCGCCCCCGGCGCCGTGGCAGCGGCCGCCCTCGATACCTCTTGTGATGGCGCCCTCGTCTGACTGGGCCCCGAAGGGGGCCCTTTCGGGCTCAGAAAGGGGGCTCTCGGGCCCGAACGAGGCCGCCTGCTTCCCCCCCCCCCCTGGATCGCCCCCCACTCATTCGCGCCTTCCCCCCCACCCCCCCCCGGAACGCCCCCCACTCTTTCGCGCCCAAGCGATCCCGGGGACCCCTCGCCGGGGATGCTCTCACACCCTGGACCCTGACCTTCCCGGGCGCTGAGAAAAAAAAAGCCCTCCAGACCCGAGGAAGGCCCGGGGAGCCGCGCTCTCGCATGAGACCTCCCCAGTACAGACTACGCGGGCACTGCGCTCCGACCGGAGGACTCCGCACAACTCTGCCCACGAATCGCGCTCTCGCCCGGGAGCTGCTCGCCTCCGCCTTCGGGCACAGCACACTTCTGCACCAGAAAGGACATGAGATGGGTCTTGGAACACCTGCGGTTATGTGAAGGCTTCCGCACAACCCACGCTTCGGTCTTCCGAGCATCCAAGACGGCCCCTCGCCATCGCTCGGACGTCCATTCACTGTGTTTTGTTCGGTTCCGTGCGTGGTTTTTTCGCCAAATGATCAAGGATGCTCCTCGATGGTCCTCGCCGAAAGAAAGATGCACACGTCCGAGCGATGCCCAGATGCCTCTACGAACCCCCCCAAGAAACACGCAAGACTCAAAAAGCTACAACATCTCCAAGGATGTCCCAGGAAGCCTCTCATAGACGTTCGAATCAAACCTTCAACGAGTCCCTCACCAGCGAACCACATGGAGACACATAAATCATAGTTCGGTTGCGTTCGAAGCTTTTCGGCTAATAATCGCCTCGGGTAAAGATTTCAGACCAGCAGGCGGCCCCATGACAACCCGAGAACCCTCCAAGACGGCCCAAGGACTCCAAGACCCGCCCAGACGAGCCCCCAAAATGGTGCAACCGAAACTCCTCGGGACAGCTCGGAGGAGCCACTGCGCCAGGAACGGTCCCGAGACCATCGACGGGCCCCGAGCGGGCCCCGGAGAGGGCCCCAAGAAGCGCCAAAGATGCTCTCAAGAAGGAGGGAGGAGGGAGGTGAGGGGAAGAGGAGGGGAAACGAGGCAAGCATAAGAGAACGAGGCTGCGGAGAAGTAGAGGGCGCTCAAGACACGCTCCAGTTCAGCCAGAGCGCTGAACTGGAACTGAATTGCCGAGCTGCTACACTGGCACGGCGACGGGATTTGCCGCAAACAACTGTGTATTGCTGAACTGGCGTGATATGCGCTAACGCAGACGCCCCTAACGTGCGATGCATGGACATCAGAAAGATTAGACCATGAACTAGATTTGGCAAGTTTGAGAGCACCGATTTGTACATATTCGTTCATAAAGCCATGGGGAATGCCTGGCTGAAGATAGGGAACAACTACCAGAATATATCCCCAACCCTTTACGTTTAGACTAAGAATGGATTGTTTGGTGTGTTCACTGAATGCCTCTGGCCAATCATCTCTTGCAGTCTCTTCCGCCTGATGGAACTTAACGTTGTGTCTTCACTCTCGATGGTCATATCTGCTGGTTGTCACATGGGTATTCCAAATTCCCCGGACAGGATGGCAGGACCATCTCCACGGTACCACATATGCTGGCTGACGTGATCAGGCAGACGTGCCATTATTACTGGCGGAGTGGAACGGCGGGACCCTGTGCGGACAAGACCATATGCGAGCTTGTGCTACGATGTGCTGCACATGAGAAGAGCAGAATAGCATCATGTTTCACTTGTCTAAGCTTGTGTGCGATCAGCCTGGACAAGTGCACCGTGGACTCACTTGTTTTGTAGCTGCTGACCTCACTGGGAAAACTTGTGGAGACACTTGCTTTGATGGGAATGGCATGTTTCTGGGATCCTTCCCCACATCCTCCGCTTGGCCCGCTGGGATTAATTAGGCAGTTGGCAGCATGAGTGGCAATTGCACGCAATCAGCGGCATGAGTGGCAATTGCGCGCAATCAAAGAATTATAACCATCAACGCCTGCGGCATTAATACGGGCATTCTGCGCACGCAGCATCAGGATAAACAGGGTGTCAGCTGCCACAGCACGGCCTCCATGACGCATGGGTCTTTTTCCAGCACTTTGGACAAGCATATGGTACAACGGGCTACGAGTACTTCGAGTGCGCGGTTCAGCTTCCAATGCAACGTACTAACAGAAAATCCTCCAACCAGACTAACGACCTGTACCCCCAAGGCCATTCCAGACTAACAGATAATCGGCCGACCATTTTCCGTTTGAATCGTCGTCGTCGCCAGTGCCACCAAGGAAACTGAGAAACAAGGAAAATGCCGACTCGTTTAAGTCGATGCCCTTCCCTTTTTCTCTTCCCTCACGGGGGGGGAAAGGGAGTTCTGTTGCATCCTCGGGGGACCTTGCCTGTCCCGTCGCGGCCCTATCCGCGTCGAATCCGTGTCGAATCCATGTCGGGCTCGTCGCATCCGTGTCGAATCCGTGTCGAATCCGCGTCGAATCCACACCAAATCCGCGACGTGTCCGCATCGAGCCCACGTGGGGTGCAAGAGAAAACACCAATTTTTGGGGACAGGCGAGGTCCCCCCCCGCAGATGCAACGTAAGGGGAGGGAAGGGGCACTGGGTCAGAAAACCGTCCCCCCCCCCGGGGTCCCGGCAAGTGGTCCAGGGGGGGGGTCGCCAGCGGGGTCCCGTGGGAGGCCCCGCCTTCAGGGTCGGCGGCACCGGCTGTAAGGCCTCTGCTGGGTCCTAAACATACCGGCATGTTATCCGCATGGAGGCGACGACTCATATAAACTGGCTGTCGTACTCCCGACTGCAGTGCGGAAGTATTCCGACGAGCCATGCACATGCACTTGACTCCAGATGACAAGCGCCGTCTTACTATCTTGGCCAGAGGCACGTCTGTGGGGTATGGGTTGCAATTCTTCTGCGATCTATCAAATCTGTCAGAGAAAGAATGTCGAAATAACAAATCATCAAATACACAATTTGATCGCTTCTACATAACGGGAACATTGAAATACCAATGAAAACGGAAAACCGAACCGATGCACGGCACCACGGGATCCCAAGCACCATGGTCAGTCCCTGCGCGGGCTCTTGAAAACACACATCACTTTCATCCGTGCGTCCGCAAACCAGTTTCTTCTGCGTCCTCGATGCGGTGACCTTTCGGGCGTTGGCAGAACTGGGTTTAGTGGGACCTGGTTTAGTGATGTGTACTGGGGGACCGCTCCCCGCCCCATTCCACGAACTGAAACTGCCGTCGCCCGAAAAACACGAGCTACGGCAGACCTGGTTCAATGATTCTGGCCGATTCAGGGGCCCTCGGGCCCTACCACTAGCCGGGTCCCCGTACCCGGCGTCATGGTTATTTCCGAACCTTGGCCCTGCAGAGCGCTGACTCCCTCACTGCCCCGCACAACCACGCCAATTTGCCGCGTGCGCGCGTGGCCTGCTCCACCTGCCGCTCGTCCTCCGCCCTCGCGCTGCCTCTTTTCCCCGCCCTCTCGCCCGCGCGTGCGGGAAGCACGTGGCCGCGGCGGCGCCGGGGGTGGGGGGCCCCATGGCGCGGGTCATCCCGCGCGCTGGGCCAGGGAGGCCAACGGGAGCGACGGCGAGGTCCACGCCGCCGGGGAGAAGCTCGTGGACCTCGCGCCAGGAAGGAGCGGGCGGGAAAGGAAAAACTGTGCGGTACGGTGGCGGGGGGAGAGTGGCAGGGGGGACCTCTTCCGCACGTTTTTGATGAAGAGCGCGACGGGCAAGGGCAAACGGGGGGGGATACTGCGAGGAGGGTGGTGTGGGGGCAGCACGAGCACGAGGAAGGCGGTGGGAAGAGGGAGAGGGGGAGTGGGGCTTGCGAAAACGGGGGGAGGGCCAGGAAGGAGGAGGATGACCAGTGTAGACCCCAAACTCATCAAGGATGTTGGGATCAACCCTCCTTCCAAGCTCCCTCTTCGTAATCTCCGGAACGGACTCACGTCCACGAGGGAAGAAGCCAGGCTGGGAAACATCTGTTTCAAGATCCTGACGTGTGCCAGAACACTATTCTCGGGAATTCAGCGCCACGAATCAACCTGATTGTTGCGTCTTGGCGATCCTGCATCGTGACGGAACGCCGATCCTGGGACTTCAACACGGCGAATCGACGGAATTGTTGCGCGCCGCCAGCCCTGAACCGTTCCAAAACATCAAGTCTGGCACGAGATCCATGAAAATTCATGACGCAATTTCAGATTTGAACACGAGCGTGCGCGGCGCAAAGGCGAGAACCGCAATTTGATTGGGAACCGTCCTCTACATTAAAGCGTTTTTCGAATCGTTAACACTACTGCGCGCGTCGCTGAGGCGAGAAACGCAGTTTGAACAGGAACCGCCCCCAACCCGTGAAACTCTTGCTTGTGTTTAACACGAGCGCGCGCGGCGCGAAAACGAAAGACAACATTTGCAAGCGACCCGCCCTCCATATGTAAATCTGTTCCCTACAGAAACGCAAAAAACGCAAGCGAAACGCCCCGCCGGCACTGCCGGCTGGCCTCTGGGTGCGGCAGGGTCAATTACTTTTAAGGGAGATTGATGGAGGAGGCCGAAGGGGATATAACACACAGGAGGGAATATTCAAGTGGCAACATGTTTAAGAGAGGAGGACGAGGAGGACGAGAAAGAGGAGGTGGTGGTGGCAGTCCTGAAAGACGGGGGCAGTCCGACTGTCCCTGCAGCATTACAATACTGCGCGGGAGCCCGACTCACCCAATCTCCGCTCGATGTGTTCGTTCTCGGTTCTTCTTCACTCCTGGCGGTTCTGCGCGAGCATGTTCCGCTCGATCTTCTGGGAACGACAGATTCTCACGACCTGATACTCCCGAGTGGCCTGCCAGCTGATGGAACGAAACCCATGTTTCTCCTGTTCTTGCTGTTCTCGCGTTGTGAGCGCCTCAGAATTCCGAAAGCATGGGTGGCCCAGGATGTAATTTCCTTCACAGCTGTCCGCGCGATGTGACCAGCATATATACGAAGCCGCCTCCAGGCCACAACATCAATATCGTGAGCACGGCAGTGCCACTTAAGCTGCTTAGCTTGGCGAAGAGCAGCTTCAACGCAATATCCAGGATGTCCATCGGCAAAGCGCGGCCAACGGAACTGTCGTACGAATTGTGTTGGGTTTGCTGCTCGCAGCGAAAAGAAGTTCGATGACGACTCGAGTCCCTGCAACAAGACACAGCGAAACAGACAAGCAGACTGCATGTCTCTGTAAACAGGTCACATCCCGCGTTGTCCCCGCTCTCGTCCGAGCCGCCAACAACCTGGCCTTATTTCCCACGGCCGTGGTCGTAGTAACGGCCGTTGCCATGATATCATGGCCCACATGGCCTCTAGCATTCATTCGCGCACCTGTGACCCTTACGTGCCGCCCCCTCGATTAAATCGCTATCTCTGGCAAAATCCTTCGCAGCGGTTTCTTATGGCCCGTGCTGTTGGCGAGGAGGTTGATGCGACCAGCGGGGATTTGCCATCCGATAACCAGTACGACAGCTTGGCACGTGCTCCAAAGCATACTGACTTGTTCGATCGTCTGTCCCAAAATAAATGTACTGCCACCCCTCACTAGCAATGAACATGCTGAGAGTGGTGTTACAGCCCTTGCACCATGTCTCTCGATGATGGAAAACAACTCCGAAGAAATTCTCAACGCAACAATATCGAACATGATACAACCACTGCCAACACCATCTTGAAGAAAGCAAGTCCCAAAGCAAACCTCAATGGCACCCCAAGCGTGATGTGCTCAGTAGTTGCCGTATCTCCGCGTATGCGTACACAGTACCGCATCGACCTCATGTTCGTTCAGAAACAAACGCAATAATATGTCTCGGAAGGTCACGTTGTTGTAGGCTCTGGAGCACACGAAGATGGCACAAACTGTCGAACACTTGGGGTAATTCCGCAGACGCATGCGCATATCCCAATCCTCTTTGCATGCCCTCCTGCGCCATCCACATCGAAACGAAAACCATCGCAACAACAGAATGTCCTTCTCGATGCGCATGGTGCCCAAGAGCCGTGTCCACGACCTTGTCCTTTATTGACTTGGGGAATGACCTTGTCCGCGGCTGGCTGGCTCTGGCCCTCGGGCTGGCTGGGGCACGCGGCAACGTTCGACTCCTGCTCCGGGTCGCACCGGGCGGCGCCGGCGACGACGCAGTCGAAGGCGGCGCCGGGAAGCACCCGCTCGGGCGCCAGCCGCTCCGTCTCGGGCCTCGCTGGCGCAGCTGGCCAGCGGCGCCAGACGCGTTGCGTGAGCTCCCGTCTTAGCAAGGCACACCATCGCAACGCACCCCGGCGCCGTCTGAGCCCTCGCTGTCGTTCGGCGGCGAGCGAGGGGGGAAGCGACAAGGGGCGGGCCTTCTTAGCAGGCTCGGAAGCCCCTGGGCCTTCTGAGAACTCGTCTGAACCTTCCCCCCGAGCACCAACAGAAACTTCTCAGGAGGCGCGAGGGCTTCTGAGAAGCCCCGCCGCCTTCTGAGAAGGCCTTCTCCTCCTCAATTCCCCCCCCGCGCTCGCCGCCGAGGCGTGTTCTGGGCCTGCCTCGAAATTCCCCTGCACGAGGAGGCCCCCCTGCTCCACCGCGGCGGCCGGCGGGCCTGCAGAGGCGGGGGTAGCAAGCCGCTGTGGGGCATCAGGACACTGCTCGCGTCTAACAGCAGACTTCAGTCGGGCCTGTCCTCCTACAGGGGGATTTTGAACGAAAAATGAAAAATGCTCAACAAATGCCCCCGAATGGTAACACAAATGCCCAAAAGATCGTCCCCAGACTATTTGTTATATTTTTGGAATCTTCCCCTCCTGTAGAGGGACGTGCCCGACTTAACAGTAGGCAGATGGGCGTCGCGCGCGCCAGAAGATACACGCTGGTCGGAAGCAGGTGAAACAATTGAAGTAGGAAGGCGAGTAAAGTAGGTTGGGCCCAGGCCCTCCCAGAGAATAACAGAACACAGCAACGCAGATCGGCTCTTGAAGCAGGAAGGCGCACTTGAAGCAGATTGGGATCTGGGAGCCAGAAATACCTACTTTCAACGACCGACGTGTATTCTCGCGGCGGCGCGCAGACCGCGGGCGGCTGCCCTGGCGCCCCCCGCGTCCAACGGCGACGCACCGCCAAGATGGAGCGGCCGCCGCCGTAGCCCCCCACTCTTGCTGCCGCCGCGCGAACTCCTTGAGGGTCTCCTAGCCGGGCGAAGAAAGCGCACTCCTTGAGCCTGCTTTCGAAGGACTCCTGAGCCACGTGGGCGCGAAACGCGAAGTGCTAGTCCTCGCCGTCGCCAAGCGCCCCCGCTACGGCGCGGTACAGGCAACTGCCGCCACCCGGAACGTGGCGAAGCGACAGAAACCCCCTGACGCGCTCAGCGCGGTCGCGCAGAACGCTCTCGCAAGCGTCCTGCGCCGCCCGTTGCCCCAGCGCCAGGCGAAAGCGTTGGCGACCGCCGGTAGCGCGAGCCCGTCCGTCGTCGTCGTCGTCGTCGTCGTCGTCGTCGTCGTCGTCGTCGTCGTCGTCGTCGTCGTCGCCCGCGCGCGCTGGCGGCCCACCGCGCTGCCGTGCGCGCCCCTGACCGGCAAGGCGCCGCCTCCCCTGCCGAGCGGCGGGCATCCGCACCCACGGGCCGCCGCGCGCTCGCCGGGCGGGGCCTGAGGCTCGAGCCCTGAGATCCGACGCTCCAGAGAAATCGGAGCGGCGGGATCTGGGCAGTCTGACTCCTCGTCACCCTCCACGTCGAGGGAAGTGTCGCTGACGGTGAGCACACACTTGCGGCAATTGCCCTGGAGCGTCATGGTAACGGAGAATGGCTTGAGATGCGTGCCGGACGACACTACCGACTACCGACGATCACTAAGGCTAGAGCCAAAACGGCTGCTGCGGTCGTGGACAAATACTTAGGCATGGCATTTGAAGAACGACAACGAAGCGGAGGGAGAAATCAGGGAAGGAAGAGCTCGGAATTCTACTCATCCCCCGTCACCCCACTCATCACTCCAAACTCCTCCTCCTCCTCCTCCTCCTCCTCCTCCTCCTCCTCCTCTACCTTCGTCTTCCCCCTCCTCCTCCTCCTCCTCCTCACATTTCCGACCGCTCCTCCTCCTCCTCCTCCTCCTCCTCCTCCACCACTCCCCTTCTCCTCCCCTTCTCCTCCCCTTCTCCTCCCACTCCCCCTCATCCTCCTCCTCATCTTCCTCCTCCTCCTCCTCCCCTTTTCCTCCCACTCCTCCCCATCCCCCTTCTCCTCTTCCTCCTCCGCCTTTCTTCTCCTCCTACATCCCCCTTCTCCTCTTCCTCCTCCGTCTTTCTCCTCCTCCTTCTCCTCCTCCTCCTCCTCCTCCCTCCTCCCTCCTCCCTCCTCCCTCCTCCCTCTTCCCTCCTCCCTCCTCCTCCTTCCTCCTTCCTCCTCCCTCCTCCTTCCGTTCTTACCCCACGCCCAACCCCCCTCGCCCCTCGCCCCCCTTCCTCCCCCTCCACAGCCACCAAACAGTCCTCAAAACACTGGGGGGGGGATGAAAGTCGTGAAACTCATGCCCTCCCAGAGAATAGCAAAACACCGTAAAATAGCAGCGGCTCCTAAAGTAGGAAGGCGCCTGAAGTAGATTGGGATCTGGGAATCCCTAAATACCTGTCTTCAGCGACCGGCGTGTAAGATGAACACGCAACGTTTGGTTCGCAGTGGAACACGGCAACTGAGACTACGATGGGGCGCGCAAATACATACCAGTACTATACGTTCTCCTTGGAGGCCACGAAAGCGCCCGCCACGACGCATATACTGTAAGATTCCTCGGTGCGCGCATCGCCCCTGGGGGGGGCGACGCACATGTAGCACAAGTATTTTGGGGTGACGCCGATACGATGCTGATTACTTTGGTGATGGCAGCGGCGAGGACGCCCCGGCGCCAGTCTTCGCCGCCGTGTCGGAGAACTGCCCGCAGACGCAAGCGCGCGCGCGCTGCATTCCGCTTGCACGCTGCAGAGCGGCGGAGAAAGCAGGAGGTTCCTCGGCGGCGATCGAGGGGGGGAAAGTGAGAAGGAGAAGGCTGAAGGGGCCCTGGGACACACAAATAGATACACACGAATAACAGGAAGGAATCCCCATATTTGTCAATGTTTTCGGGGGTTCTGTCTCCCCCCACACTTCCCATAGTGTCCCATATTTTCTGGGGAATCCACGATTACTTGTGTCTGTGTGTTTTTCCCTCCTGAAAGGCTTTCTCAGAAGGGGTTGGGACTTCTCAATGGCCCTCGGGTCTTCCGAGAAGTTCTCTGTGGGGGGACTTCTCAGAAGCCTGGGGGGCTCCCGAGCCGTTTGAGAAGGCCCGCCCCTTCCCACTGCACCCCCCTCGCTCGCCGCCGAGTTCAGATCCGCATACAGCACATTTGCTAGATGGGTTGAAAGCAATATCCTGCAGAACGGCGTGGCAAAGCCGGGCACATTCTGGCCTAGCGCCCTGACGCCATTGAGGAAGAGCCTAGCGAAGTGACGCGCTCACGTCATCGCACTACGGCTGGGTACGAAACCAGATCGGGCAGATCGCCCTGGCTGCAGCGTCCTCCTCCTCCTCCTCCTCCTCCTCCTCCTCCTCCTCCTCCTCCTCCTCGATGAAACGACAGAGCGTCGGCCGGTTGCAGCTGCACGCTCGCAGCCTCCGCAGCGCCGCGGCCCAGACGCCCATCGCACCGACGGGCGCCGAAAGACCGAGACAAAAACACGAGCACACCTGCGGGGCGGAGAGAAACAAACGCAGCTCCGAAGAGTGGAGAGGGGGCGGCATGGAGGCCTGCGAACTCGAGAAGTGCGGGGGAACGACGTTGGGGGGGAGGAGGGGCTTTGTGGGCCCCGGAAACGGCAGGGCCGTGTTTTCACCGTTTCCAGAAAAATGTCGCTCGAACATGGCAACGGCAAAAAAACGGCGACCGGAAACGGCAAAAGAACGGCTCCAAGACTGGAACCGGCAACAAAACGGCGACGGAACCGGGAACAAAAACGGCGTCGGAACTGGCAAACAAAAGTAAAACGGAACCGGACAAAAAAACGGCCCTGTCGTTTCCAGGGCCCACTAAGGGGAGGGGGGCCGGCTCCGGGGAGAGAGCACCGAACCATCATCGGCGGGGCATCGCCGATAGCTCGGCGACAGGCCTCCGACCGCGAATCCGCACGGCCCCTGGGCAGGGTGGGCTAGCCGGCCCCTGCCCGCGACGAACAGAGGAGAGGGGGTCGATGCGTCCCCCCTGAGCATGTCCCCCCCGAAGGAGGAGGAGGAGGAGGAGGAGGAGGAGGAGGGCGGAGGAGGAGGGCGGAGGAGGAGGGCGGAGGAGGAGGGCGGAGGAGGAGGAGGAGGGCGGAGGAGGAGGAGGAGGAGGAGGAGGGCGGAGGAGGGCGGAGGAGGAGGAGGAGGAGGAGGAGGAGCTGCCCCTGAAGGACGGGAGCAGCAGCGACGCATCAGGTTTTCGATGCCCCCGTGCCGCGGCCTGATCGCCCGTGGCTGCCGAGCGGCGGCCACCACCCGGGAAGGCTGCAGACTGGCGGCGACGATCGGGGCGAACAGCCCAGGGGGCGGGCGTCGCACGCCTTCGCCCGGAAGCCTCGTCGAAGCCGTGGACAACCGGAGGCTCTGGATACTCACACGCACGGCTCCCCCCCTGGGCGATTCGCGCCTTGACCACCCACCAGACCACCCCAACCCGACCCGAAGGCCCGAACATGTCGGGCTGGGGGTGCACACGGGCTGCATATACGTGTGTTTTCTTTTTGGTCAAAATGCTCCCCGATTCCCCCCTCACTGGAAACGGAGGGCAAATCGGGGCCTTCGGGTTGGGTTGGGGTGCTTTGGTGGGCGGCGGCCTCCATCGCCGCATCCGAGGAGAGAGCACACAAGCACGCAGTCTGCACGGTCGCGGACGGCTTCTCCACCGGCGCAGGAGCCCTTCCCCTACCTATTCAGGAAATCTCCTCATAACAACCACCCAACAAGCGAGGCCGTTTAGTACACGCACCCAAACAAAAATCGAACAGGGCAGGGCTTTTAGTAAACGCCCAGGGCCGTTTAGTTAACGCCAACTGTCCGGTCCAGGTGTGTGTGTGTGTGTGTGTGTGTGTCTGTGTTTGTGTTTGTGTGTGTGTGTCTGTGTGTGTCTGTGTGTGTGTGTGTGTCTGTGTGTGTGTCTGTGTCTGTGTGTGTGAGGCTGCCTTCTCCCTCCCTCCCCTCGTCGTCCTCCTCGTCGCCGTCGGTCGTTTCCTTCCTCTCTCCCGTGCCGAGGGGCCCCTTGACACTGGCAAAACGCGTGTGTGTGTGTATGTGTGTGTTGGAACGCCAAAAGAGGACGGCAGGGGACCCCGTGGGGCCTACCCGCCGACTCGGCCAGCTGGCAACGTGTCCCCGCGTCACCGTGCGACACCGCTTGGGCGCCAGGGGCCTCCCGAAAAGTCTAGGATGGAAAACTCCCAGGCGCGTTGGCCGCGGGGGCCAACACGGGCAGCCTAGGCCCCAAGCCCTACGCAAGCACAGGTGCCATCCCAGGCGACGGGACCCCAGGACCCCCCCAGCCACACGGGCCGCCCAGACCGAGCAGGACCAGAGGGACCCCGCCCCAGGGCCCCAAGAGGCCGCGAAGGGCACCGCTCAGGCTGGCACCCGTGCGGGGGTGCAACCCTGCCAGGAGGCGATCGCGTCGTCGGCGCCGCTCTCTCTCGGCAGGGTCGCACTCCATGAGCGGGGGGAGAGCTCCAGTGCAATCGTTCTGGAGCCGCCTGGCCCCGCGTGACACGTAGGCCCCGCAGCGACGGCAGACCACGAACGTCGAACACGTGACAAGCTCGTGGCCACGGTCCTGCACACACGCGGGCGGACCACCCGCGCCGGCGGGGCCGCTCGCACTCTCTCCCAACCCGACGCCCGCCTCTCTCCCAACCCGACGCCCTAATGAGGACATCTTGCCAAGGGAGCGTTTCTGCATGGGCTGGTCACGATACCCGCAGCGTGACCAATTAATGCTTACGTGCTCTCTGGTAAATGAAATCAGAAGGCGGCTCAGCTGTCTTCCAGCATTCTGCCAACATCTGCCTTCATGGACTCAAACTCGGCCTTGGTGCTCTCGAAGGCAGCCTCGTATGCAGCCAGGCGCTGCTGCAGCTCTGCCTTCTCCTTCTCGGCCACAGCCTTCACGCTCTCGATCTCGTGCTTGAACGAGGCTTCGGCCACCTCCAGCTCGGCATAAAATCTTCTCTTCACTTCCTCGGTGCCCTCCTGTGGCGGCGGAGGGGGAAGAGGAGGAGGATGAGGAGGAGGAGGAGGAGGAGGAAGAGGAGGAGGAGGAGAACGAAGAGGAGGAGGAGGAGGAAGAGGAGGAGGAGGAGGAGGAGGAGGAGGAGGAGGAGGACGAGGAGGAAGAGGAGTCGGACATGACATGATGAGACCCCCCATGGGGACCCAGCGAGTCCGAGAGGGGGTCGCCAGCGGGGGTTTCGGGGAGCATCCCGCCTGTCACTGTGGTGGGGGTCCCGGGTCAGAATTACTCCCCCCGCCCCCCTGGCGTCCCAGCGGGTCCCAGGGGGGTCACCACCGTGAGCTCCTGGGGGAGATCCCGCCTTCAGGGTAGGCGGCACTGGCCGTACGACATTCGCAATGACACTATGCCCGCGCATTTGGCTATCGAAAACCAGCGGTTCTCAACAATCCCTTGCAACAAAATAGAAACAACTACACCCGCGCACGTCGTTGCGCGCGTATGCCGAATTCCCCCAACAACCTTAGGTTACGCAAGGGTGTCACATTCTATTTCCCCGACAACATAGAACAAACACATGCTTTGCAACATGGGCTTTCCAGAAACATGCTCCGCGCGCCCTCTCTGGCGAGCGCTTACGAAACCT